ACCTTGCCCTTGGCCAGCACCAGGCGCGCCAGGGAGGGGGTGATCTCAGGCCGCAGGGCCACGCGGCGGCCCCCCTTGTCCTGGGAGGGGGGGTCAGGGTGAAGGTTGGGGGAGAAAGGGAGCTCAGGGCTGGATACTGTGGTGGTTGAGAGGTGTGCAGCTGCAAAAGGCCGGCCTGTTGCTGCCCCCGGGCTGAGGCGGTGCAGCTGCGCACGAGGGAAGCTTCCCCCACAAGCAAGGGGCCGCCTGGGGCCCGTGGCCGAGGGGCCCGGCCGCAAAGCATGCAGGCGCCGGCAGCGCCATGCTTGGTGCAGGAGGGCAGGCGCCGTGCAACGACGGATTGCTATCCAGTGGGCGCACACTGCACCCATGTGCACAAACCGCCATGGATCGCGCCGCCGTTGCGAACAAGCAGACCCAGTGCTTCACCGGGCAACCCGCTCCCGGACAACCTGCTCGCCAACCAGTGCTGACGTCACCGGGTGACTCAACCCCCGACCCTGCACCATAAACCCTGGATGCCCCAGCATGTCACCCGGTGATGACATCACCGGGTGTTGACGTCACCCACCTCGAAGTTGTACAGCTGGTCCGTGATCTCCTCCCCGGCCTTGCGCACAAACAGCTCCTCACTCTCCAGCACGGGCACGTCAAACTGAGGCGCAGGCGCAGGGGTGGGGATTTTGGGGGGAGGGGACAGCAGGCAGGATAACTGCGCTACTGCCACGTCACATAATGCGGATCAAGGGGACGCAGTGACCCCCAGGGGCCAGGCACATTTTGAGCGCCAACTCAATATTCTTGTTGTGTTGTTTTAGGGGTTTTCTTGAAACTATGGGGGGCCCCCAACTGGCCTGGGGGTCGACAATGTGTTTCTGCAGCTGAAGCTCCTCCGGCAGAGAGGCAGAGCCTGCCGCGCAGCTGCCGTGCAGCTGCATGTGTGCCATTTGCCGTTATCCGCCCCTCGCCCACGCGCGCTCACCACTGCCCGGTCACACACACGCACACATGCCCGTGCGCATGCGCGCGTGCGCTCACGCACACACACACACACGCGCACACACACACACACACACACACACACACACACACGCACACACACACACGCACACACACGCACACACGCACACACACACACACACGCCCCCTCCGCACCTGTTCGAAGCCGAAGCTGTTCGCCACCGCGGCCCAGTGGCCAAACAGCCAGCTGCGCAGACGCATCTCCTCGGGCAAAAAATCGCGCGTGCCTTGAATCAATTTTGGTGGGAGGCGTCGTGCCACAAAGATCAGGCGGGATTGCCGTGTGCATTCCAAACCCGCAGGTTTGGCCGTGGGCGGTTTCAGGTTGCAGGACGCCCCGCAGGTTTAGGTCCGGCAGGGGCCCCTTGACAGGAAAGCCTGGTGCGGCACGATGCCGCCTGCCTTCCGCCGCAGCTGCTGCCGGCAGCCGCGCGTCGGTTGGGGCGGGGGCGGGCGGGCGTACGCCCTGTCTCCCCCCCTCCCTCCTCCCTCCCTCCTCCCACCCCACGGCCTCATCGTAAAGCCAGCCGCTGCGCCCCACCCCTTCCATCACCCAACGCCCTGGTCCCCAGATTTCAAAGAGTAATTCTCACAAGACAGCAGAATGATAGCAAAGCTTCATAACACCCTATTGCAACGTGCCAGCTCACCCCTGGGCGGGTTCGTGTCAATCAGCCCCTTGCTGCCGCCCTCCAGCGCCGCCGCCGCGCCGACCTTGCGCCCCTTGCCGCCGCCTCCCTGCGGCTGCGGCGCCTGCGGCTGCTCCGGCTCCGCCTGCTGCTGCTGCTGCTGGTCCTGCAGTTTTGCAGAGGGACGCACTCCTTGTTGTGGCAGGCGCGTGCCGCCGATGGGGGGGTCGTACAGGCGGCAGGTGATATCTAGCTGGGCAAGAGCCGGACGGGAGCCTATGACATTGCATAGGGCCACCCATTGGGCCGCCGGCCGCAGGCATGGAGGCTTGGAGTAAAGCCGGTCCAATCCTCAGCACCGCGGGCCCACCTGTGCCGCCGCGGCGCCGGCCGACGCAGCGATTTGCCTGCTGCCACGCGCTTGCCGCTGTGCCCGCAGCAGGCACGCCGCCGCCGGTTGGGATGCTCGCAGGCATCTTGAAAGCCTGGACGTCGCCACTTGTCCAAGCATTGCGGCTGCTGCGCACACGGCGAAGTGCTGTCTTCGGTGTAGAAGCGAGCAGGTGCCCACCAAGTGAACCCCCAGCGCGCGTATCGGGTGACGCGCAGAACAAAATCAATGAATAAGTCACCTGGAACTCTTGTGTTATTGTAAGGTCGACATTTGACTTGCTTTCGCAGATCAGACCTGCGACAAGCACACTAGTGCGGCAACCGAGACTCTCTCTCTGAGAGAGCGGCATCAGAGTGAACTCCACGTGCCATAGGTATTATCAGTACGCGCCCTTACCACCCTTGCAACATCGGCCGTCGACGGCGGCGCAGCAGCGGCGTGCTTGACAGCGGCGGCGGCCGCCGGCACGCTTCACAGCCCAAGCCCGCGCTCGGCTTTGGGCGACGCAAAGCAGGCGTAGCAGCCAGCAGCTGCGGCCCTGATGGCCAAGCTCAAGAAGAGCACCAAGAAGTTTGCGCAGAAGCACCTGGGCGGCGCGATCCAGCGGCGGCGCTCGGCGCAGCGCCACAATGCCTGGAAAGCCGACAAGGGTACGCTGCCCGGCTGCGGGCTCCTATATTGGGTGGGGTGCCAGGGCGCATATGAGACAGCCGGGCCTGCGTCCGCCCGCATGTCGCAAGCCCTGCAGGGCCCACCCTCCCACTCAGTTCAAGGAGTGCGCCGCGACCTTGCTGCCGCGCCGTCGGCCGCACCGGCAGCGGCGCCCCCGCTGCTGCTCGCTTTGTTCGACCGCGGCGGCGGATCACCCTCACCCTTGCTCCGCCATACCCCCTGCCCGCCCGTCGCCTCGGCTGTGACCGCGCAGGCGCCCAGTCCGACGCCGCCGGCGACGCGGCGGCTGCCAAGGCGGCGGCCGCGCGGCAGCGGCTGGCAGAGATGGACGTCGACGCCTTCCTGGACGGCGGCTTCGAGGCAGCTGCCGCCACTGCAGGGGCCGGGGCCGCGC